GTGCAAAGTGCATTTCCATGCGTTCAATTACAATCCGAGAGAATTACTTGACACTATTCGACGAAATAACACGATTTATTGACAACTGTGGAAGAAACGAATTTCACTTTTTTTTCTATAATTTTCCTTCTTCTTTTTTTTCTATTATCAAAAAGTTTCTTTACACTTGACACAACAAAAGGAGAACGTTCTGACCTTGAATTTGTAAATTTCGATGGAAAATTTCTACCGAAATTAAATGATCGATAATGATCTCTGTTCAGATACGAGATACTGGAGGTGATCGGGAAAGGGAGCTTCGGTCAAGTGATCAGAGCGTTGGATCACAAGACGGGACAGTACATCGCCATCAAGATCATCAGGTGAGCGAACGATCACTTGCCTTCGGTGAATCATTTTATATTATATTACCATACGAATCTCGCTTTCTTTTTTTTTTTTTTTTATCATACGCTTCCTTTCACGCGGTTTGTCCGGTTTTTTCTTTCGTTCGTTCCGATATTAAAACGGCGCGTCATGCTATCGTGCGTGCTTCTTGCAGGAACAAAAAGAGATTCCATCACCAGGCGCTCGTCGAAGTGGAGATCTTGGAACACCTGAGGAAGAAAGACTTGGAGGCGAACGCTTCGCACAATGTGATACACATGCTAGAATACTTCTACTTTAGGAACCATTTGTGCATCACCTTTGAGTTAATGAGGTACGAGGCGCGCTTCGTTCTTCGCTTTAATCTTCCCTCTTTTCTTCTCGGTGAACGTTAGAAGCTAAAATGTAGAACTCGTAGCAAAGAAATCGTTGTGAAAAAGTATGTACGACGAGCAAGAGTGAGAGACGAGATTTTTAACTGTATATAACACTTCCACGAAATCTCTTTCGAGTCTGTATAAATCTGGGAATAATTCTACACTCTGATAGACGGCGTTTTTTTCTTTCCTCTTTTTGTTACAGTTTGAATTTGTACGAGCTAATCAAAAAGAATAACTATAAGGGATTCAGCCTGAGCCTGATACGACGATTCGCCAACTCGTTAGTTAGCTGCTTGAGACTGCTGTATAGAGAGAAGATCATCCATTGCGACTTGAAACCCGTAAGTGTTTCAATCTCTCCGAAAAAACGGACGTTAACTTCTTTCAACTTCGCTTGTTTCTTTACGATCGAAGGAACCTTGGTTGCTCCTTGGTTGCTCAATACGCGAATGCTGTGAATTGAGCCAGTAATCAACGCGGTTTGACGAACCGACTACGTCGAAAGTAAATAGTGATGTAAAGAGCGAAGAATGCAAGGGGTTAATAGAAGCGAGAAGGTTCTTAACGTCACATTGCCTAATCCGTCGTTGTTGTTCTCGTTGCAGGAGAACGTGCTTTTGAAACAGCGGGGAAGCAGCTCGATCAAGGTGATAGATTTCGGATCGTCGTGTTACAGCCACCAGCGTGTATATACGTATCTCCAGTCGAGGTTCTATCGAAGTCCAGAGGTGATTCTGGGCCTTCCGTATGGTACGCCGATCGATATGTGGAGCTTAGGCTGTATCCTGGCCGAACTTTACACCGGTTGTCCGTTATTCCCCGGCGAGGATGAGATCGAACAGCTCGCCTGCATCATGGAAGTTCTTGGCCTCCCGCCGGAGCATATTATCGATCACGCGACTCGTCGCAGGCTCTTCTTCGGTAAGTAGAAACGCGAAACGAGGGTGCATCATTGAATTATCGACACGAGGTGGCGATGGTACGTAATTGTATAGTTAAAATCGCTTTCAGATCCGAAGGGAAGCCCTCGATGCGTGACAAACAGCAAGGGCAAGAAGAGGTGGGCTGGCAGTAGGAATCTTGCCGTGGCTCTCCGTTGCACCGACGCGCTTTTCGTCGACTTTGTTCGCAGATGCCTCGAGTAAGTTTCGATTGAAAATATATCGTTCGAGAAATATCAAAGAAACTGACAAACAAAAGAATATTTGCATTATTTCTGTTCCGTTCTGAAGGACCGACACAAAAAGTCACGTGGTTCGAATACGCGAAGTACGTCCATTAACCCGTTCTGTAACGAAAGCGTAACACCTCCTTCTTTCCGGCAGGTGGGATCCAAAGAAGCGCATGACCCCCGACGAGGCGATGCGTCACGAGTGGCTGAACTCGTCCTCGTTTCACGTTGGCTCCTCGACGTCGACGATAGCCGCGTCGACGGTGAACGCGAATACGAACGCGAACGCGAACACAACGAGCATGGAAACGTCGTCGCAGTCCGCCCACGCTCAAACGGTGAGCGTGACGGTGAGCGCGCCGAGGCAACGGGCCACCACCGTCGAGGATCCTCCGTACGCGATGTACCGTCTGTGCAAGGGACGAAAGTACGTGCAGAGGATCAGCACGACCGAGAACACCGACAACGCTGGACTCGTGGTGAAGAGCAAGCTGAACGGAAGCGCCAGCAGCCACGCGCTCGCCAGTAGCACGCAGACCACTACCTCGAGGCACGCCTCGACCGGCGATATCGTCGCGAGTCTGGACCCAAATCTCGACGATTCCGGTACGTTTTTACCGCCGATATTGTGAAATCGGTATTGCGCTACCCACTTTTAGATATGCTTACGCGCGTCGTACCGTGTCGCGATCGTACAGCACACTCGCTCTCCGATCTACACCGAGATGACATACGATACAAACGATCGTTTTATACACAGTTATAAGGAAAACCACGCATATTGATCTTTTTTCTTTTTCTTTTTCTTTTTTTTTTTTTTTTTTTTCTTTTTTAATTAGAGCGAACAACAGGTTGGAAGATCGATTTGGTCACGACAATAAAAAGCAAACCACGTACACATACACAAACGCATACTCGATCGTGCGACCGGTTAAGACCAAACTAATACACAGTTCATAAATCCGTTTAAATGACGACGCTGACTCTCTCGTGAAGATACGCTCGTCTCAATATTCGCGAGCAGCGAGTATCGGTATCCGGTGTGCTCGAAGAGTGAGAGAAAGAGAACCTTTGGGACGATACACACACACACACACTGGCAGGCTGGCTGTGGATCTGGCCCCGGATCGTTGCCGACGCCAAAAGACTAGTCCAGCGTGTTCTCTCGCTAGTCTCTCGGCGCTAAGAGGCCAAAACAATGGGACGAGGTGCGTGTGTAACGCGAACAACGAGCGGCACGACTTTTAATTGTAGCAAAAGGAAAAAAGAAAAAAAAAAAAAAACTGAAGAACGCGGTCGTTCGTTTCGGTTCGGTTCGTTTCAAGCGCGACCGATGAAAATTTTTCTTGAAAAAAAAA